ATTTTTGGGTTTTCCTATTTTTTGTTTTTTTTTGCGCGCTATTTTTACACCCTAAAAAAAAAGGGGACCCCCCCCAAGCACCAAAAATTAAAAAAAAAAATTCAACGCGGTTTTGAAAAAAAAAGGAAAAAGGGCCCCCCCCCCCCCCCCCCTTCTGTAACCGAATGTATTGTTCTTTAGAAGTGAAACGTAGGCGGCGCTCTAGTAACAGAGAGACTAAATTAAAAGGGAAAATATGAGCAACGGATACAAGGTAGTCTAGGAATCGAAAAATTCTGATGATTATCTCAGTAAGACTTCCAAAAGGCGTTTAATACACCAGGTGTGGTCGTATTCATCTTCCCGGGAAGGGCTGTGTCTTTTTTATGCCCATTTATTTGAACATGCAATCATCTTAAAGGAGTACAGTTTTTTGGTCTTTCATGGCAATAGCTAGTTGCGTGGTTGCTGCGGGCCATGAATATTAATTACTTTGTAGTTTTTCAGACTACCAACACTGTTAACTTAACATGGAACAGAAAATGTGTGTTTAAATTTTCGAAGTTCTGTATTATTTTTCTCTGGGTTAATTCTGTGTCAGCCTTTGTAACGTGTTCCCCAATATCGTCAAGATGGTTAATCGAATTAGCCTCATTTTCCAACAGTGTATCAAAGGATTCAAGTTTGAATTAAGAAATAACACAGTCGAACTGAACAGATCCAAAACAACGGTATTGGAGCTTAATGGATCAGAGATAAGATAGACTATTAAAAAACAGAAATTTGGCAAATAGCAAACGAAAAAAATCAAGATATACCAATAATGTTCCGACTGCAAATTTTCTCCAGGCTGCAGCGTCTCTCATGTTAGCTGCGCCACCGTTCTGAGCTGTTGGTTGAACTTGTAAAGCTTGAATTTGGTTGGCGTGTCGGCGTACAGCAACAACAATCTTGAAATTAAGTGGCACTGTAGTTAAGAGGAGAGGGAGAAAAATAATCGCGTAAATAATGAAGCAATTCGTGTCGGGATCCACAGTCGAAGAAACGACAAAAATGCGCTGCAAATCCACTTTGAAATCATTAAAGTGACAACGCGTTTCTGGGTCACAAATTCTTGGTATCTGAGAAATAGGCAAACAGCGATGAATCCATCTAAACTTAAAAAAGTCACTCCAAAGAAAGACGCATAACCAAACAAATCCACCGTGAAGGCGTAGAATTTGAAGATTGTTATAGGCTGGACTGTTTTCAGCTTTTTGCTCCATTTCCATGACGAGAGACGCAATGTACGAAGGCTGCACCATCAAACCAACACCCAGATCAGAAAAAGCCAGACTTAAGAGCAGCGTTTTTAAAGGTCTTGGTAGTGACGAGAATTTTGTTAAGGCGTAGATCGTCAAACAGTTTAGCATTACAGCAGTGTATGATAAGAAAGCGTTCAAAACGCAAGTGGTGATATATGAAGAGGTAATGTCTTCATCGTTTTCCATGATTGTAGACATAAGAACGTTGGAGCAAAGGAAAAGTTTCAAGGTCGCCAAATTCTAGTCACAGTTTTTTGTTGAAATGCATGTGAGAGACTTGATTAAAACGACAAAAAGGAACGTTGAAGGCCACAGATGTGGCGCAGGTGTTTTTGGGACTCTGTTTCCTGTCTTTAATAAATTGCAACCCGGGAGAACATGCTAACCTGAGTTCTGATTGGCCACCGTGATAGCACACTCCGTTAAAAAATCATGACTAGGCTAAAACGATTAATAATGGTAATGGCACTGATTGGAGAGAGAGAGTTTAAGCTTCACGTATACGGCAGATGTCAGATTGAAGTCGAGAATTTCTCAATTAAATAGAAAATGAGCAGATAAGAACAGTTCAAAACACTGAATTCTTATGGATGAAAAATTGCGTGAAACTTCTAATTTAGGTGTAGTCTGAAATAATGAACAGTAAACGACAAGTAAAAGAGGAAACTTAGTCACGTGGTACAAATTCGCGTTTGCCGTTTGACGTAAACGTGATGCTTAACCTCTCTACAAACAAAATCGGACAAACTCGTAGCACTAAAAGGAGTCCGATTAGTTTCATTACGAGTATGATTACAGGCCGAATTGACTTTTAAAAGACTTTTAATATTCTAGAATGGTCATCCACTGAGAAAACCCTAATTATTATAATTTTGATAGTTCATTAGTGGCATGGATAAGGCTCTTTTACACCGATATCAGCAGTTGTGGTCAAAATAAAGGATGGACCTTTGATTTTTTTTGGACTGGCTCCTGTTAATGTTCGGCAGAAATCATCCTACCGCGGTAATCCTGTACATGCCAACTTTTCGGAAAAGATAGATAAACCCCAAAGTATTGTAAATAGTTGGTCAGCCAGAAGATTGACTCTCTTGGGTAAAATCACCATTTGATAATAAAAGTCTAGCTGTGTCCCAAATAGTCCATCTGTTGTCATCCCTACCACCAGCTGTACCATCGCACCAAAAAATAGTTCAAGAAATAAATTCGATACTGTATGATTTTCTGTGGGATAGCAAAGGCGACAAAATTGAACGAACAGAAATTATTAATAAATGGCTTTGATGAAAACGGACTAAAGGCGATTGATGAACAAAGATTTAATACATCATTGAAAACGAACTGGGTTCAAAGCTACCTAAACACATAGAACAAAGGCAAATGGAAAGTTTTCTTCGATTACTACTTGGAGAGATATGGCGGGAAATTACTGTTCTTGTGCAATTTAAAACGAAAAGATGCATCACAGCTGAAAATAAAAGACCCTTTTCAAAAGCAATTGTAGAATACTGGTCCAGCTTAGATTATAGTGAGAACAACCTGTTTTTTTTAGTCTGCATGTATCTAGCGTATCTCACTGATTAAGATCGAGAACAGATAAAATCATGGTTTAAAGCAGGTGTGGAGAATGACAAAGACCTCCTTGATAAGGCTTCCAGATTTATTAGCTTTATGATAATTTCGTAAGGAAGGAGGAAATTTAACGTCAAAACTAAGTATCTTCAGTATTATAAAGTTGTACCTACTCTAACAAGGTATAAAAACTATTTTCGCCCATCAAACGGTAACGACCAAACCAAAGATGCGACTAAAACTCTTCTATCGCACACAAAATTCTTCAAAAAAAAGCTTATCAGCGCCTCATTGAAAAAAGGGCTTCAACACCACTTGAGAGTCAAGGTAAATGGTTGGATGAGGGCTCAGTAGGAAACGAGACGGTCAATTAGGAAAGCACTTACTCATTACGTGTGGTTCGATTCTCGTAAACGACCACCTCGCGTAAGCGACTACTAAGTCTTTGCATTTTCGGTTGTCGCTTACGGGAGGTTCGACTGTATTAAAGCCGGGGTAACGAATTGCACCTTGGGGTGAAGCCTCCCCGTGTATAACTTTCTTGAGCCCAGTGCCCAGCAAGAGCCAAAACATGTAGAAAGTGTCGCGGGAAAGATGATTTTGGAAACGTTTGCAAGACAAAGTCATATGCTCGTCAGGTTGGGAGGGAACCCGATGACAATGACCCTGGGCCCTAGCACGACTTTGCACTCAGTATTACAGAAGGAGAACACTCAGAAATGGTCACAGCACAAGTAAGAGGAGTAGACCTTAAGATGTTAATAGACTCTGGGGGGAACAGCAACATTATTGACGAGGGTACGTGGGAACAGCTAAAGGTGAATGGAGTGAAGTGTGAATCTTTGCTACCCCAGACAAGAAGCTGTACCCATATCCGTCTAGTCAGCCACTGCCAGTTAAGGGTAGTTTTAAGTGTACAGTGAGTGTTTGTGAGAGATTCACCAAAGCTGAGGTCTTGGTAATTAAAGGTGGAGGGATGTCACTGCTTGGAAAGATAACGGCCACAGAACTGGGAGTGTTGAAAGTTGGCATTAACATTGCTATGGTAACAAGTAAAGCTGACAGTTTAAAACAGCAGTACTCAGAGGTATTTGAGGGTGTCGAAAAACTGAAAAACAAACAGATATCCCTGGATATAGACCCCACTGTAAAACCTATTGCACAACCTTATAGAAGAATACCATTTAATCTGAGAGGAAAGATCCGAGATAAGACCACAGAACTGTTGGACATGGGAATAATTGAACCAGTGGAGGGTCCAGCCCCCTGGGTCAACCCTGTGGTGATCGTCCCAAAGAACAACAGGGAAATCCGCTTATGTGTGGACACGAGACAGGCAAACCAAGCAATCATTCGAATACGATATCCAATTCCCACAGTTGACGAGGTGTTACATTACCATGAATGGTTTTAAGGTCTTCAGTAAATTAGAAATTAAATGGGGGTACCACCAGTTGGAGTTGAGCCCAGAATCCAGGGAAAACGAAACCTTTGCTACACCTGATGGTTTGTTTCAGCAGCATTGGGGTTTAGTTTGGTTTGGTTTGGGAGCCCTTTGATTGGTTCCGTTGAGGAACAATGGTTCGGCAATCGGAAGTCATCGGAAATCATCGGAGAAGTTCGGCAGTCGGAATTTGTGTTAGCATAAAGAAAGGGCATTTGAGTTGTTATTATACATTAGTAAAAAGTGAACTTATATGTGTAAACGAAGAAGTCAAGTCAGACATGTGATAGAGAAAAAGGGTCCCCTGCGCAGGGCGCAGGCGCAAAGTACAACGCATGCGCAGTACCGAAAAGAGAAAAAAGGATGTAAAAAGGGAGAATCGAACTTACAACCTTGGGATGTTGGAAAAGAGGGAAGCCCGTACTAACCTTAACACCATGTGCTAGCGCGTTCCGAACTTGAAGAAAGAAGAAAAAATAAATAAGTCTTTCCAACCTTGAGAAATGATCAAGGCCACAAATAGACGTACTAACCACTATACAATCGAGACCACCACAAAGAATGAGAATGAAAAATTACACTTTATTAAAAAACAACGTCTCGGCTGGGAATTGAACCCAGATCTTCTGCGTGACAGGCAGAGATACTAACCATTATACTACGGAGACAATCTTACAGAAGTTCTGTAAAAATGAAAAACTTTATACAGAAATGTTGAGACTACGTTTAAAAGTATCTTGAAGTTCTAATAAAGCGTCTGGAAAATCGTAAATGTTTCTGATCCCCACAATGGCTGTTTTGGGTAGAAAGGTGGGTAAAGCAAACTGTTCTTCAGACATCTGATCACAGGCGTAGAATAGATCTTGATCGTGTCTGTACCAGAACCAAGTGTTACGCTCCACATCGTACACGTAGAGGATTTTGTTAAGAAGTTTAGCCATTTCCACTGCCCAACTGGTACCTCCAACGACTACGTTACTTTCAGGTTGAAAGCTTGTAAAAGCCAGTACCATTTCGGCTTGTTTCACCAAATGATAATTCCGGTGAATGTATAGTAAGCTGACGGGATTGGATAAAGGTTTGTTGAGGCGATTTGACACTTGGTTCGTGATCGGAATGGCTTCTCCCAACTGTGAATGAGTTAATGGAGACAGGTATTTACTTCTTGGATGACAAGGTAGAATGAATATCTGTACAGGTAAACCAAAGTCTCTGGCGAAGCGTTCTGCTTCTAAATCGACTCCGTTAGAGCCACCACTAAAAAAAATCGTAAAAGGTTTAACATCCGACATCTTGCTTCGTGGAATGAAAGAATCACATTGTCAAAGGGAAATATAAACAGACCAAACAATGATGCATTGACGTCATTGTCCAGAGAATGAACAATGCAATGACGTCATGGCCCGGACATGTTCAATTCCCACAGGACTTGAGGCTTTTAGGAGCATAGTCATCAAAATAGGCAATGGCTTTTTCACAAACATGTTCAAAAATCTCTTTCTTATGGTTAAACAAAAAAGTGTTCAATTCATCAAAGGTGAAATTATGACAAGAGATGGCTTCTAAGATGTTGGCTTGCATAAAGTCATGATACCCTTGTACTCTGGAACGTTCGATAGAGTTGAAAAGGGTGTCCATGTTCCTTACAGAAAAGGCAGTGTTGAATGGAACTCAAGCAAGTCACTTCTTCATTTTATAATCCACATCGGGTTTTTTGTTCAAGAATTTAAAAAAGGCCGTCGTTTCTTTGTTCAGTTGATTAAAAATCTTTTTGTTAAAAGCATAAAGATTGTAATTCAACTCGTCAAAGGTAAACTCTGTATTAGCCAAGGCTTCAATTAGCAAAGCGCGAATAAATTCTTTGTAGTTGGAAAAGGTTCCAGGATCTAGTTTTTTCAACAACGTGTCTATCTTAGTGCACGGTGTCGTAGCCATATCGTTCTTCCAAGTCTTTGACAGCAGTTTTGAGTCTTGTCAATTCCTCCTCGGAAGATTGAAGTTGCTGCTTTAACGTCTTGATTTTCTGAACTAAACTAGCGCAAAAAGTCACGGCTTCTCCCACAATAGCAAACCACTCGTTGTCAATCATCACTGATAGTGAGTCAACAACATCACTTGCTTATATCGACAGTTCACGCTTCACTGACTTGTCCACCCTCATGTATTTCCTTTGGGACTCTTCTAACTTCTTTTTGAAAAACAGGGTAGACAATGTCACTCGGCTGAGTCATGGTGGTCAAATGAAATTTTATTACACATCACACTTTTATCGCCAATTTTCGCATACATTCGGGTAATTCATCTTCATAAGAAAAATCCCATCTAGGGTCTGTTATTTCTCTTTCAAAAATGTACTCCGCTATTTTACATCTAATCCTAACCCCTTGGCAAAAGCATCATCTTTTTCTTGAATGCAATAGTCACATAGAATCCATTCCAACAATTCGTCACAGCGCTTTTGCCACAAAACACGCTGAGCATTGACTTCTTGGACCGAGGGTTGACAAGCAAGGTTTTGCGTAGCCACCAACGGAGCTTACACACCAGGACGCGGGCACAATAATCATGCCAAACAGGAAGCTTGCCATCACTGTGATTTCTACACCAATGTATAAAATCGCTAGGTGACATGACATTCGTGGTACCTATAGGCAGTTCATGGATCTCGTTTAACCCGATGGGAAGGTCCACAGTAGGGATATCCTTGCCTTGAAACAGCTCTTTCAGCGGTGGAGTAACATCTAGCAAACCGACGGCGGGGCAATCGGAGGGACAATGAGTCTTGTACCATTGTTTGACATCGGCAGCAACCAAATTCTGATCTCGTCCAGATGTGTCGTCAAAGGTTAGTCCATGTTCGTACTTCATTTGCTCATCAATACTCATTTGGGTCTCATTGGAAAAAGCAGACAGGTCATGTCAGGAGAATAAGACAACAAAAGATGATGATGTCCATCTCGACTACATAAACCAATTTCTCGATAGAGAAAAAACTCATAGGTGATTTTAAAACCGTCACAGAAAGCAACAACTCCAACAGTCTCCATACTTGGAAAGTGAATGAAGTCTCTGGGTAGAGTCATGCTATTTAAAATTCACGTCATCCACCCAAGCGTAAACAAGGTATTAACGTCATGGCCTAGACTTGCCCGCTGCCCAGGGAGGGATTGACGTCATGACCCAATTCCCTTAGGACCCAAATGCTCAATAAAGTAAGGTGTTCAAGTGAAAAAAGTCATTATGTGCAAATTTCAAGAACCGACCGTTCAGCAATTGCAACGAAGCAAAATGTCTGAACTTCAGAATACCATCAAGGCTATATTTGGTTCCTCTGATGAGGAGTCCATAACTCGTCCTGACGACCCCAAGATGGCGAATTTGAAAAAAAGAATGATTCAACCTCAAACCACTATTCAAGGAAGCAACAAACGTCCCAAAGTCAAGAAAACCAAGAAAACAGTGAGCCCTAAAGAAGTGACTGGAGATGAACTACTAGTATAGTCATTCCACCTCAGCCAACAGTACCCACCAACCTTCTCATGCCTGGTCCGTCATTAGCAGGAAACATGGAAGAGTATCCTAGACCGTCTCTCCCAGGCTATGAAGAGATGATGCAAGATGACATGTTCAATGGTCCAAGCTCTACGGAAACACAACCTGACCTAGCGCCTGTGAAAGTGTTGGAAGACAGAGTAGCAGTGACCCAAGATGGTCGAACCGTGGAATTGTGGCCTGTGGAGGAACCAGAGCAAATGGCTAACATGTTGGAGTATTTGCAAGATGAAAACAAACCACTGCATACCAACTTTGTCCTTCCTAACCAAGGACTAGCCCTGTGTTATACCTGCCCGGTTTTTTTTGGAAGTATGCAGAACAAGCAGATTGTAGCGGGAGCCTTGTGTAACGAGATACACAGCAAAATACTCAATCAGTGGAGAACCCTTAGCTGTCGTTGTGGATTAGTGCCCAAATTGCAGTTGAGCCAAACACCCAGAAACATGAACAAAGTCTTCCTAGGCTGTCCCAAACCTCGAGAAGCCAGATGTGGGTATTTTCAGTGGATCCATGAGCCCCCCAAACCCAACTATGTACCCAAGACAGCCACCCGAAAAGCCCTGAAGAAACGACTGGCGGACATGGTCAGTGACAGGATGCGCCTGGAGAAAAAGCAGAAAACCGAAGGAGGATTTCAATTTCCTTAAACTGATGTAAAACGTGTGATTGTATTAAAGTTGTTTTTGCTACGTGAGTGCATGTTGTTTGTCATGTCTCACCCTTTCCCTGGGGAGGGCCATTGACGTCATGACCCAGACTTACCCTCTCCCTAGGGAGGGATTGACGTCATAGGGGTTTTGTTAAATACACGGCATGTGTTGAACCATGATCAGTTATCATCATGAACTTCCACGGGAATGAACCATTAACCACCGAGTTTCTCCTAGTATTTGGGGATCAAGAGAAACCCTGTCCCTCGTATTATGGAAAAGACGAAGATAAGAAAAAAGTCAAAATGGTCCTTCAACAAGCGATTCATCCTGTAGTCCGTGCCAAATGGGGTAACTTAACGTGTTATTGCCAAACGCTCCCCAAGATGCGGTTAAGTAAAACTGACAAAAATCTCAACAAAGTATTCTTACGTGTGGTGGTTCCACTCAAGTCGCTCGCTGTAAGTTTTTTCAGTGGATCCACACCCTGTTGTCTCGACAAAAACAAACAGACAAGAAACCAAATCCTGTCAAGACCTGGTTGCAACAAGCAGAGCAAAATATAGAGAAATGGAGAAAGCAACAAACCGACCATGCCTGGTTCAATTAGTTTGCGGAATCCGCCAAACAAGAGCAGCAGCGACAGACCAAACAAAGTGCAAATCCTTGGAAGAAATCCCTGCCAAGTACCTTTCATTGGAGTCCCGAGATAGCGGAGGTAATCAAGAAACGAGACCAATGGAAGGACATCAACACCATGGCCAACAAAGAGTTTCAAACCTCTGTGTCGAAGACCTTTCGAAGCTTACCTCCTAGTGATGCCAGTTTAGCGTCCTACTTGCAAAAGAGAAAAAACCAAGGCAAACGCTTATCCCCCGCGGATGAAAAGTTTTTACAAGCCTGTCATCAACAGTGCAAACCCGTCACAGGATTTTGGCCTCAAAACGAAGCAGCCACTGCTGATTTTGTGAAGGGACCCTGGCCCTTTGGTGACTTGCCGGAAAAAGTGTGCAGTTTAGCGTCGTATTGCCGTAAACGAAAGCAACAAGGGTTACCGTTAACCCCAGCTCAAGAACGTTTTTTTGAACAATGAGTGGATGTGCACAAAGATGTAAAAAACGAGGGTCCAACTATGGTGTTGTTTTAAACAATAAAAAATTGTGAATTGGTAATGTGTGGTTCTTTGTCTCTAGGGTTAGGGTTAATATGGTAATAAACCCTAGTCCCAAGGGGTTAGGGTTAGGGTTATAAAGCAACCCAATCTACTCCATTTAAGTTTATTTTGAGGTCATCATCATGTCCACTAAAAGGTTGTTAGAGATCACTCAAGCTTGGCATGATTGTGAAGTTGAATTGAAACAACTCCGAGCCCTTTTACAGGTCCGAGATAAACAAATTGAAGACATGAAAGGACACATCATAGCCTTACAAACAGATAATGTTCAATTGCGATATGAGTTGCTCTGTCCAAAGTGTCAAAGATATCTTGATTCAAAACAACCCAGTGATACCATGTTGGCCATACCATGTCCTTCATGTATTTTAACGGAAGGGTATGCCAAAAAAATTTTTGAAGTTTAAAGCACGCCCACCTCCTCATAGATATCATTGTTCACCATGAACACCTTAGAGTATAGATGCACTATGTGGATTTCTCAAAAACTAGCCCAAGACAGACCCATTCCAGAAGAGCGCTGTGCACCTATTGCCTCATTTGAGTGTATTATGGAGACCCATCACAGTTGGGGTTGTTACGCTATTTACATCACCTGGTTGCAACGTCATTTTCCCACGCAGGGACCATGGATTTTTCACTATTCAACGACACACTATTCTTCATGGACGTATTCATTGTCCTATTTGTTAGCACGGTGGTTCATGTATTATGGCGCAAAAACTGTCGAACGCCTATGTCGATCCTTCCCAGCCTGGCTCGTTAGGAGGTGTGGCTACATTTGCCAAAGCTCATGGTCTCACCCAGTCCAAAGCGCGTAAAGTCTTAGAAACCATGTTGAATTACACGTTGCACAAGCCCCGACGTCGTCAATTTCCTACCGTTCCCGTCATGGTCTTTAAAGTCGATCAACAGGGGGTCATGGATCTGATGGACGTTCAGAAATTAGCCAAATAGAATAAAGGTCACCGATACATTTTAACCTTGGTAGATGTCTTGTCCAAATATACCTGGGTCATTCCCATCAAAAACGAAACCGGTGCGGTGATGGTTCAAGCGTTACAGACGTTATGGAAACAAGCCAGCCCCAGACAACCTCAAGGGGTGCAATCAGACGACGGGACAGAGTTCACCAATGCCAACGTGCAAACCTTTTTTAAACAACATCAAGTAGATCATTTTTCCACCCAAGGCGATACAAAAGCCGCTTTAGCTGAAGTGTTGATTAAAACGTTAAAAACCAAACTGTATCGTTATTTTGCTGCTGCCAACACCCTCACCTATTTGAAAGCCCTTCCCCTCCTCGTGGAGCAATACAATCACACCGTTCATTCCAGTATTCAAGAAAAACCTGTGCATGTGACCCCGGACAATGAATATTTGATTTGGAATAGATTTTTTAAAAAACGGTTACGCAAACGGGCTCGTCCTAAACTGCGTGTGGGAGATAAAGTACGGTTAAACAAAAAACCTCGAGTGTTTCAAAAAGGGTATTTGCCTGGTTGGACAGAAGAAGTCTTTTTAGTCCATAGGATTTCAACCATCCGCCCCGTTGTCACCTACACGCTCACAGAATGGAATGGAACACTTATAAAAGGCACGTTTTATGACCAACATGTTCAAAAGGTGGTACTCCCCGATGAGGCGTTATTTTGGGTGGAAAAAGTGTTAAAACGAAAAGGAAATCAAGTGTTTGTTGCGTGGAAAGGGTGGCCCAAAGAGTATAACAGTTGGATATGGAAAAAAGACTTGCAAGTACTATGAATGAATTTCGTATTACTCTCATCAGTGATCCCACTGATGAATTTCCCAACAATAAAAACAACAATTTTAAAGTCCGTTTACCCACCATATTGAATTTACCGGGAGACACTTGGCAAGCGAGTTTATGGAGTGTCTCCGTGGCTGACGAGGGACATAGTCCCACCGTTCTTTCCTCTAATCAGGATATAGGGTTAATCAAATATCGTTATACATTCACCCAACGTTATCAAGCAGCGGATAATTCATGGTTGGTGGACTTTAAAGCCAGAGTCAAAGAGGTGACCTTAAAGGACGTGATGGGAAACAATTTTCCGGTCACCTCAGGTATTCAATTATGGCATAATATTATCACCCACATGGATCAAACCATGATGAAAGATGTGACGACCACTTCAGTCGCTAGGAAACAGCCAAAAATGATGCAGCCACTGTATCCTTGAAATTCACTTGGAAACCCACGTTTGAATGGAAACAAGACACGCTGGTTTTAAAAGCCGTCCCTTATCAAGATGTCTTTGTTCGCGATGCGGCCAATAAAGTGAAACCCTTATGAACCGTTGGGTTTCATGTCGACTTTGCTCAAAAGTTTGGCCTCCTTACCAAAGACAAGAACGACAAGTATCAATTAGGACCCAATTTAGACTATGCATTACCCACCAACACCTATAATGATACCACACTTCCTACGAGAACCAATCAAAGGTATCAGTGGTTAGGAGAACACTTTGTGGGGATTAAATCTCACGATTTAATGGGAGGGAATAAGTTATTCAAAGTCAAGACCGAGGGAGGAAAGCAGTGTATGTATCTCACCCGCTACGTCGATTGGCAATTCCTTAACTTAAATGCCTTGTTAAATACACATGTGGGAACCATCAAACAAACGGTGATGTTATATTGCGACGTAGTCGAATCGACCATCGTTGGGACTTAAAAACGTTCGTTGTTGAGAAAAGTGGAATTGGAACGTCGGGGTCAGGGCCGAGCTACGGTAGAACCCCTTCTCGGCCTTTCCCGATTGCGCTCGTAAAATCCTAAAAAAGTGCTAGCAAAAATGGCTAAAAAGTGCTCAAAATCTCAAAATAGTGCTCAAAAAGTGCTAAAAGTTGTGAACAGTTACCTCTAAGCTTTTCGTAAATATGTCAATATTTACTGAAGTAATTAACAATCTTTTTTGCGCAGTGTTATTCGACAGGTTGTTACGAAAGGTTGATAGAATATAGAACAATAATATTTTTAAAAAACTAAAGCCGGTTACGAATTGTAAATAAATTCAGCAGTGCTAGCATCAGATGATTTAGAAATTTGAGATGACACACGCATGATACATCAGCCAATCAGAAACTTCTGTACTCACGTTCAGTGAGGATAAGTCCACGTGCCTTTCCACGACAACGGTCTTTTATTCTTGACAACATCATTAGTTATTCAAATTGATGACCTGGAACACGATTCTCGTTGCGAGCGACACGCAGTTTTTGCTTTAAAATGTTTTAGAAGACATAGGTTGCTCGAAATTTGCTCGAAATGTGAAATATTGCTCAAATGTCGCCCAAGGTGCGAAAAAGTGCTTAAGGGTGCTCAAAATGCAAAATAGTGCTCCAAACTCAAAAAAGTGCTCAAAAGGTGCTCAGCGCAATCGGGAAAGGCCTAACCCCTTCATCGTAAATAGATTCGACTGCGTAGCAAACGAGTGGAAATCACTGAAGTGTCCCTCGTTACACCTCGTGGATCCTTGTTGGTCCTACCTACAGGCAAAACACTCGTGACCCTAGGGTTTCGACGAGTATAAAAGAACCCTCTTCTCTCTGATGACACAGTCTTTCATCATGTTGGGTGGGTCACTCACACGATATCATACCCCCACTCTGAAAGGAAAAGGGTTTTCACAAGAGTTGGTCAAATTAGCTGGACCCACATTGCTTCGATCCAATGGACATGGCCTTGACGCGTATGAAAAGGGGCGTCTGCCGCAGAGGCCGTGAATTACAACAAATATGTGAACCCAACTCTGTGTCTTTCATTCTTGAACATGTTAACGCGTGAGGATGAGCAAAATGCCATAGAGGGATTAGCTTTTACGCAAGCCCATGTCTATTTGTTGTACCAATGGTATTGTCATTGTCATTGGCCCTTGGTTACTTTACAAGACTGGGTGGAGATTATGACCCTTGCCAGATCTCATCAATGGTCTGCATTAAACACCTTTCTGTTGGACAAACCAGTCCTTAAAAAGGTGGTGTTTACTACCTTAGCATTAGTCTCTCGCAGTCTGTATCGAGTGTACTTTCAGCATGATTACACGTCAGGATTCCCGTGAAGTCTATGAGGCGTTTGCCAAAGCCAAGGTACTGTATATGAGTCAATATCCGTGGGAGATGTTTGACCAAGACCAATGGGATGGGTCTCATTGGACGCAGGTGGTTCAATTGGCTCAACAACAAGCTTGGGAGGCCATGAAACACTATATTGAATGGATGGGGCAAACCTATTTAAGGGAACACATGCAATTAATTGTTCAATTAGCTTCTCCACGCTTGTATCAAACACTATGGGGAGCAAACGATGCAACGTGAGGCGAACACGTCGCAAAATTCAAAAAGGGGGCGCCCGATTTAAAAGAAAACCCCAACTAGTCGATGAAATTGCCAAGGGGTGGCCATGGGTTTATCAGGACCCTCTCCCAGTTTTGCTAAAATGGGTGCTTTTTTAGCCAAGCAAGCTTGCAAGGGTGTAAACGACAACATCCGTCGTTATCAGAGAGGCAAAGGACTTGGCACGGTCTTATCCACAGCCGCCAAAATTGGGTATAAATTGGGCAAGGACAAAGGCTATAAACGTATGGGTACAGTGGGAGCGACTGGTCATTACACTCATTTTCGTAAACCGTGGGAAACATGATTCGTCAACCTGCTAGTGTAATTATTGCAGGCGAGTCTGGGTCTGCAAGAGTGAATTGGTCGAAAACCTCTTCAGAGAGAAAAAACTGTTTTATCCCCCTCCCCAAAAGATGGTTTACTGTTACGATCGATGGCAACCACCAAAGGAGGACTAAAGCACGATGACGGGACGTATGACACGACAAGGAGCCTTTTTAAAAGATGTCTTAAAGGTAGCCAACCAAAATAAACGTCAACAAAAACTTCGCTATGCCAATGCAGATCAAATAAATGCTGTGAGTGAATTAGTCATGAATACCTTGCGTGGGGCGATTCGTCCTGGCAGAAAAACTGTGCCAAAATTAAAACCCTACAGCAAACAGCTTCGCCTGATTGCAAGTCCCCGTCAGAGTATAAAAAGACGTCACCTCATGATTCATAAATTAGGAGCAGGTGTTTCGAGTGAATTAAGAAGTTGTTATCATTGTGCTAGGACCTGCTTCCGCTATTAACATGAAACAAGTCCTGTTCCAACGACTACTATATGTGCTAGAAGGGTTGATGACGTTGGTCACCCTGTTGAAAAACCTTCACCAACGCATGAAAGAAAAATATCCCAAGAGGTGGGGGTCCAAAAACGTATAAGTATGCCCCTGGGACTTTCATGTTCATTCATTGCTGACCATGGATGGTATTAGTAGCACACCCGTGGAAAACTCTGTTCAATTTTTACGGCTCAGGGATAAATACAAATCAGACCTCTTAGATGATAGTCGTCTGACCAGAGCAGCGGGTTTAGCAGCCCAACAAGAACTGTTGCTAGAAAGTCGACCCCCGATACCTGGAAAGAACCCCGTTTGAAATCCGTGAATCGACAGTTACGACAATGGACCAAGAAAATTCGTCAGCCTGGCGGTATACGCACTATAGGGCGTGATGATTCAGAAGAGGATGACGATGAAAATAATTTAGCAGTGGGTCTCATGCAGCAATTCATGAGGAATTTTCGAAAAATTCAGAAAAGTATAAAAAGGAAAGCCACGACCCCTAACGTACCATAAACACCCGTGACACCGGCTATTAAGTAGTCGCTCAAGACTCCGGAAAGGAGAAAAAACCCAAGTTTTCCTTTAAAACTGGGTCGAATGGAAAGCGTTTGTTACCGAAGACACCTAAAAGGAAAAAGGCTGCTTCGTCTACCTACAAGACCCCTGAAAAGTCTTTGGAAGAATCAGCTAGAGAATTACCCTTTTCAGACCAGTTAGGCGAATCTCCTTGGAAGACTCCGGGTGAATTAGCCAGAGACAGTCTCAGAGCCATAAGAAGACGTACACGCAATTCCAAGAGTGAGGAACGAAAAAAAGAAGGTTTAAAACAAACTGTGCTGAAAAAGGCCACCGAAAAAGCTTTGAAAAAGTTAGCCCCAGCCCCTGGGTGGAAACCCTTTGCTACTCCGACTAAACGCAAACTCGATGGCAAAGACTGGTAAGAGAAAACGTTCAAGACCCCGTAGAAGGAGACAGCGAGGGGGAAAATTTGATTTTCAAAAAGCCATTGAGAAAAGTTGAATTTCACATTCCTGGTGGCTATAATTATGCTGGCCCTGGCACGAAACTAGCCAAACGTTTGACCGACCGAATTGCCATGCATCATGACATTGCATATAGCAAAGCCAGGAATTTGCAAGATAAATGGAAAGCCGATGACGTCATGATCAAAGCCATTGATCATTTACCCGGGAAAAAGGCCATGACTGAGAAAGTCGTCAAGAAAATCATGCAAGCCAAGAGAAAACTCAAATTGTAATCTGCGTGTGTTTTTTTATTTCAATAAACAACAATGTAACAACATTCGTCGATGTAGTTTATCTTTTTCCTCAGTGGCCCTGACCACCGACTCTGTTATCCTCAGCATTTGGAATTTACAAAATGAACGGGCAAGGGCCAATTCCAACACACAACACGTGAACTCACAATCAGCAAATGTTTTACTATTACCAAACCCAAAAAACAGTAAATTCCTACAAAGAGCGAAAAAATAATAGTTACAATACAGAAAAACCACTTTAAGGCGACTGCAAAATGAAATTAATGAAAAAACGATGAAAACGAAGCTGCTTACCAAATGCTGAGGATAACAGAGTCGGTGGTCAGGGCCACCGAGGAAAAAGATAATCTACTTCGACGAATGATGTTACACTAATAGATCCGTAAAAACTGGTAATACAAATAGCGGCGAGATAACAAACTATAACGAAATTTACATATAGCACGTAACAAAGGAGCGTAATTAACAAAATACCGGAGAGCGAAAAGTAAAAGAATACACGATAACAAGTAAGTGAGGAAACGAAAAACAAAAGGAAAAAAATTGCCCCAACAAAGAGTTTGCACACAATGTCTCCGTCTCGTGTTAATCTTGTCTAAGCTGTAACATGAGCACACATTGAATTTCCGATTGAAACGTGACCAGACTGCCATCCAGTTCTTTGAGGGTGATTTCAATGTCTTCCCGGGGGGGGTCCATCTTGGGTGTCCACCCTCTATTTATACCTAAAGACCAACACACAGACAGAGTTTATATCTCGACCTACCATTTATTTCTGCATTAAACCTCCCTGTCGATTTAATGTTACAACACTTCGAAAAATGGCACCCAAGAAAAAAAGATGTATGACTTTCATTACAATCATAGGATAAAGACAATGGGGTCCAGAAAAACACTGGAAGAAAACTGCAATCACTTTGCTAAGGAAACAATTTGTTCGAGTTTTTGGGTGTTGGACGTAAAGCAGAGGAAGATCAAAGTCTAACCCTACCGAAAAAATCAAAGGTGTTTCAAGCTCTTTTTGGATGCCTGTTCCTCGACCCAAGAATGGGACATTTTTGATCCAGTCTATTTTCAATATTAACATGTTAAACAAAAACCTTTAAAAAATACCTTTTCTACAACAAAAACCTTTTACAAATCTAAGAGCAAGTCCATTTCGTTTCGAATACGACTGTATCCATAGGGGTACAATTTTCGAGTGGTCCTGTCCTCTACACGTTTGTCAAAAACTAACCCATACTTTATTTCCCTTTCAATGAGTCTAATACGTTTGTTTGATCTCTGTCAAAAAAATTCTTGTCTACCAACTTAATTTCTCGGCGTTTGTCTTGAGGGTCCTCCAATTCTTGGAGGATATTATCCCTCAAGGCATAAAAATTTAACAACAATTTATTTCTATAATTCAATGAAAACCCTCTCACTTTACATTCTACTTTCCCTCCCCTGGTTTCATAACCATAATTTTTAGCCCCTCCACTCGCAGATTTAATAATAGGGTCCCCTTCTGCTTCGTCAGTAAAATCTCCCAAAAAAACACCCAGGGGAATTTCTACCTGCCCGGGGCGCCATTTGTAAATCACTGAATCAGTGTCATAATATAACACTCTTTCTTGCAAGGTTTCTTAGGCTGAATACAATTTTTAACGCGCATGAGCCGTGGTGTAGATAGCTATAAATATATTCGTCTTCACATTTTGCTCTACTTCTTCCTCTGCTCGAGTGGTTACTACTTCCATGACATCTTCGGTGCAAATCCGGACGGTACTGATGTGGTACAAGCGGTGTTGAGAAGACAGTACAACTGGTGGGCACTCTGAATCACGTGGGTTTGGGGCTTGTTGTTCCTCTCACCAAATTTCCCCCAAAAGCTAGCAAAACAAAATAAACAAACAAATGAATGAGAGATGTTGATATGCAGACTTTGTCTGCATTTTAAGGTAGTTACTAAGCAGACTTTGTCTGCTACTTTTCCATACATTTTCCTCTTATTTTTTTACACGGGGGTTTGCTGTTTTTTCAAAAGGGTGTTTGTTAATTACAGACTTTGTGTTCACGTAGTCAGCAAACAGCCCCACCCGTCTGTCTTCTTCCCGGAAATGCCATACTTCATGAATTTTTAATATCTTGTACCCTTAACTTTCTTCACGGCTTTTTGGAGTTCCACGGTGGCCCACGTCCCTAGGAGCATGCGTTCTGCATCCGTGTGAGGGCAGATATTGGATCGTTCCAGCCATGGCTTTTGCTCTTCTTGCTCCACACAGGCACGGCACAGGGGGAACGTTAACTTATTCCCTACTCGGTAGGGCGACACGGGATGATAGAGCAATTCCGGGGGCAAAATATCCACTTGGGCAATGCCAAAATAATGGTGGATGTCCTGATCCCTGGGGTTAGTATAAATGAGAGGAAAACGGACGGGATATTCCGCGCTTACCAACTAGTTTGCAATATGACAATTAGCACTTACACGACGGGTGCAAGTACTCGCTTTTTCACAGTGCAAGAGCCTAGTTGACGTTTCTTTTTCGCCCTGGCACCCGTCGTGTAAGTGCTAATTGTCATAATGCAAATTAGTTGGTAAGCGCGGAATATCCCGTCCGTTTTCCACTCATTTATACCAACCCCAGGGATCAGGACATCCACCATTATTTTGGCATTGCCCAAGTGGATATTTTGCCCCCGGAATTACTCTATCATCCCGTGTCGCCTTATCATCCTCACATTGCCATTGTAACGGTTCTTCCAAGGGGTCTTGTTCCTCTTGTTCTTGTGGTTCTTTTTCAACAATGGGTTGAATATAACGAAGATGGTTCACGTGTTTAAATTCTCCGCAATTGGTACAACTCACGTGATAGCATTTGTGCGACTTTTTAGGACTGAAGGGCTAGTGGGCACAACAGAGAGGACATTTAATCTTCCGTAAATCACACACACTTTGATCTGCTCTCTTTGGACCTTTGGCTTTATGAGCCTCAAAACAGTTTTGTCCGTAAAATATGACGTTACAGTCTGGACAATAAAAGGTGGGTTTGATCCAGACAGCAAAATTAGGACACGTTTTGTTGGTTCTAGTACAGGCATTGCAATTCTGCCCTTCGCAGTTATGGTCTTGGAGTCCTGTGTATTGAAACCTCTATCGCAAAGACGACAATAATAAGATCGATTCATAGGGATAGGAATACTTCTGAGTCCATCAAAATGTCCTTGATGTTTTACAACACCAATGAAATAAGGGGCTTGATTATACTGTGCATCTTTAAAAACGATTAAACATTTTGAGGGCTCACCCACGATGAGCTGGTACTCCTGTGGTCCGAGGTAATCTTGGAATTTTTGCAATTCCTCGAACCCGCAGGGGCCTTCGGGAACACCCGCTTCTTGATGGAGGAGACGGGCCCAACGTTCTTGAATCGGTCTTCCACGTCTCAGATTTTGGTAATGGGACCCCTTATCCACTCTTTCTTTCATGGTGACGATTGCTTTTGCGCAACACAAGTCGTCTTTGTTTTGGATTCTTATGATACATTTCTTTTTCTTTGCGATCTTTTCCCAGGCAATTCGTCCAGGGTTGTTTCGTTTGAAAGCTCCACCACGCCCCAGCCTTTTCACAAATGTGAGTTCCACAAAGAAACCATCTCTTTCTGGATCCACGACTTCTGCTGAATTTAATTTCCGCGCTAAATCTTCTAAAAAGGCGCGTGCGTAGTCTTGATTACTAAGCCACTCGTTTAAAGGTACATGACGGGCAGATTGACTCCAGACATGAGTAAATGAATTGGAATGAATGGCCACCAGTAACGAATAATCGGCAGGATTGATTTGTTCCTGGGTTACTACTCGCTGTAAACCTTGTCTTATAGCTTCTGTAATGGCTTCCCCGAGTGGTTCGTTGTCGCCCGCAGTTCTCAATTGCTGAAACGTTAAACGAAATCTTCTCTGTTCTACTATACTACGAAACGACCTGTTCCTCCCGACTGCTGTAAATATGGCACGAAAGATGGGATTCCCTCCCCTTTGGTCGAATCTACGGGCTGCGGCTAACAGGACATCACTGTCTTCTTCAAGAAGATCTACAAAATATAATTTAACGCAAAGTTCATGTCGCTATCCCTTCAAGACAGTTCGCTACAGTTGATATTCCCACCAGTCTTTGTAACAGTCAATGGGGCGAGGTGGTTATCCCTTAAGTCTCGTCTATTTTAGCTCGCCACCCTTCTAGACAGTTCGCTACCGTTGCATATTTCCCACTAGTCTTTGTAAGAGCCAATGGGGCGAGGTGGTTATCCCTTAAGTCTCGTCTATTTTAGCTCGCCACCCTTCAAGACAGTTCGCTACCGTTGCATATTCCCACTAGTCTTTGTAACAGCCAATGGGGCGAGGTGGTTATCCCTCACAGTTTTCAAATAACTCTTGTTACAAGCAATTACTTACGTGCAATTTGAATGTCCAAGGCTTGATTTTCCATTCTCTAGTTCACAACTCTTGTTCTTGAGAAGCCGCGTAGATTTGCTTGCTCTGAATGAACAGCTATCGCTCACTCTGCGAAATTTATACCGACAAGAGCTTTGACCTTTGCGCAGAATTTGCATACNACTACTCGCTGTAAACCTTGTCTAATAGCTTCTGTAATGGCTTCCCCGAGTGGTTCGTTGTCGCCCGCCGTTCTCAATTGCTGAAACGTTAAACGAAATCTTCTCTGTTCTACTATACTACAAAAGGACCTATTTCTCCCGACTGCTGTAAATATGGCACGAAAGATGGGATTCCCTCCCCTTTGGTCGAATCTACGGGCTGCGGCTAACAGGACATCACTGTCTTCTTCAAGATCTAGAAAACATGATTTAATGCAAAGTTCATGCCACACCTTTAAGACAGTTCGCCCAAACTTATACTTCCTACTAGTCTTCACAACAAAGCATGGGGCGACGTGGTTATCCCTTAAGCTTCGTCTATTTTAGCTCGCCACCCTTCAAAACGGTTCGCTACTGTTGAATTTTCCCATTAGTCTTTATATCAGTCAATGGGGCGACGTGGTTATGCCATGGGTTTTTTAGTTCGCCACCCTTCCAGACAGTTCGTAACCGCTACATTTTCCCACTAGTCTTTATAACAGCCAATGGGGCGACGTGGTTATCCCTTAAGCCTCGTCTATTTTGGCTCGCCACCCGTCAAGACGGTTCGCTACAGTTGAATTTTCCCACAAGCTTTTAAAACAACTCTGGGGCGATGTGGTTAACCCTTAAGCCTCGTTCATGTTAGTTCGCCACCCTTCAAGACAGTTCGCTATCGTTGATTTTCCCACTAGTTTTTACCACTGACTAAGGGGCGATGTTGTTGTCTCTTAAGTCTCGGCGACGTTCATAACTCAAAGGAATGAGGCATCACAGTTTTCAAATAACTCTTGTTACAAGCAATTACTTACCGTCAATCTCGCTGTCAAACGCTTCATGATTCATTCTTGTTGATTTGATCACCTATCACCCGCAACTGCTTTTCGCTGAATGAACAGTTATCGCTCACTGGACGAAATTTATGTCCACAAGAGCTTCGACCTTTGAGCAGAATTTGCATACAAACTCAACCAAGCATGGTTTATTGACGTACATCTCGCTTTTATTTTGCTGAGCTACGCAAGTTCTATGACGTTTTTTACCTTGCCTAGTCATTTCGTGGACGAGCTACCCTGCGCGTTTTCTATTTTCCCACGTTCTTTCTACATAATCTCTTACTTTAAGTCACGTTTCGTTTCCTTCTATCTTTGACTTAGACCCTGTTTACATGAAGTGGGGGACCCCGGTCTACTGGGGTAGGTTTCTTTTGTTTTGTGTCCCCCAGAGCGTGAAAACAAAAGAAACCAACCCCACTAGACCGGGGTCCCCCACTCCACGTAAACAGGTCTTAAACTATCTTCCCTTTTTTAAAGTAATTACTCTGCTATCTTGGTATTGTTTAAATCTATTAAAACGCAATCTTGGTTTCTATTCAGGTCATTAATCCGCTATCTTGGTATTGTTTTTCCTAGATTTGAAGTCGTGCTAGAGTGCACGTTTTCCTGGGTCACAGAAGGTCACGGCGTTTCCCCTTGGATTTTTTATTCGTGATAAACTGCACGTTTTTCAATATTCATTGTAGCTGTTTTTCCCGCTTCAAGCTATTATCCCACTTTTCCCTACAACATTTATTTCATGTTGTTTTGGCTTTTTCCCTACAACATTTATTTCATGTTGTTTTTGCTTTCTCTCTAGTCAATAACTTTTCACTGTTCTTTTACAATGTACTTTCTTTATTCACGACCTTACATTACAAATAGGACATATGAGTCACATACTGCGACTCGCCTAAAATTCTTCAAATACACGCGGATACATGACAAAACATTTTAGTTGCATTTGAGCTTTTTGGAACGGTGTTGCGTTCATATATTTCCAATAACCAGCATCTGTGATGTCGTCCATACATAGTTTTAAACTCACGATGCGTACACAATGTGCGCATAACTCATCTTCTGCTGTGTTTTTCCAAAGCGTAAATTGGCACAATTGTCTGTATTTCAATTCTTCTAAGGTAGTTCTGGAAATATATAAAAGCAACAGCGTTTTACAAGTTTAATGCACTTCGGGAAACCTCCTGTTTAACCGTTCAAGTAATTCTTCGGGATACTCGTCAGGGTTTTGAAATAACACATCTCTATCAGGAATAGCACTGTACACTCTCATAAATTGCCTATTGGCTTCAATAGGGTCAAAATTATTATCATAGCTTTGAAATTTAATCCAGTCATCAATCAGAAGGTTAAACACCCCTAATCTGCAATCGCAGTGACATTTCACGGAGCTATACGCTCACTTTGTAAAAGGACAACAGGGGAGACTTTTGATTTCAAACAGGGATTTTCTAGAAAAGATAAAGGAGAAAGTCACTTTCATTAACTGAGTTCTTCCACTAGAAAACCTACGGGTCTAGAATACAATTTTACTATACATAAGAAATGGTAAACGTGCAGCGTGCAACCATGGAGTTATGGATGCAAGCGGGAGGTTGCTAAGCACGAAAGTAGCGTGAGAGTCACACGAGGCGATAGCCGAGTGCGACTCTAGCTTCTTGAAAACATTATTTTCCATTTGCCTTCGGT